GGCACAAGTGGAGCAATCACTGCAAGTGATACAATCTGGTTGGGAAGTGTTAGCTACGAGCTCCTGGAGACCAGCAGAGCTCCACACCTGACCAGAGAGATCTCCAGAGGCATCCAGAGACAGGTAAGGTAGAAAAAGTAGCTCAGAGGACTTGTTCTGAGTACACAGAAGGTGTTTTAAGTGAAATAATGCTGATGTCAGAAACTACATTTGTACTTGTATATGTGCTTGTTTGCTCCTGGCACCCCTCTCTGAACGGTTTGACAATGCTCAGCGTGGAGAGGGGATGCCTGAAACATCCAGATTTCAGACTGGAAATGGGTGAGGGATGTGACTTCCAGCAGTACTGAGGTGATTGGTCACCTGTATCTGATCTTCAGCCTTGAAGCCACCAAGGTGGACATCAGGACTCTTCAAAATCCTGAAGCTTAAAATGCCTGGAGGTGGCGTGGCCATAATGTCAGCTTGGAGAGTGAGCTCTGGGTGTGTTGAGCCTGTGCTTTTACAGGGCTGAAGGGCTGTGCTGTGATCTTGTGGGTTTAGAGCAAACAGAGCAGGAATTGACACATCTTGAGTGCTGTGTTCTGCATTTGACATCTCCATGCGTGCACCTTGTGTACGTTGTTCATCCTCGCAGAGGCTCCTGCCTGTTTGCTCTCACACTAATGAGATATTCTCACCCATTTCTTTGTTATGCCAGCTCTAATTTCCAGCTCTTTGACACGAGCAACCATTTTTCTCTAAAAGGCTGAGATCACATGGCAGGATTATAAATTTACTCCTGAAATGCACCATTAATAAATAATAAAGTGTTTATAAATATGCAAAATAGATTATTAGTCAATTCTATAAAATCTTGGCTACAGGAGCATAAAAGTGTGCCCTGCAGCTTGTATATCTATTATAAAAAAAAGAGGAAGGAACTAAAAAGAAATTCAGATTCCCTTTTTAACTTCCAAGCAGTAAACGCTGAATAACTTACTTCTGATAGTGATTATATTAAAAGCAAATCATTTGTTTCCTTGAAGAGAAATGAACAATGCATTGCAAATACATGATTTTAAAAATATTATGTATGAGCAGAGGGACAGAGTATGTCCTTCATTTGAGCAGCTCATTAAATAGAATCTCTTCAGCAAGAGCCTTGCCCTGTCTGTGAGCACCCTGAGCAGGACCACTCTTTTATTTAAGCTTAGAAAGCTTCAGGAGTGCTAAGAGCACCTAAAAATTCCTGTCTCTTAACTACAGGAGCTCAGATTGGAACCTTGAATCACGGAATCTGAGGCTTGGATTGAAAGGGACCCTGAAGATCACCCAGTTCTGTGTGTTTGCCCATTGAGTCAGGCATGGGAAATGGCATTTCCTGAGGATCTCAGCATTGCTCGGGATAACCCCTGCCTTTCTAGCAAGACCCTCATCAGTAGGTTGTTGCAGCAATGTTTTGCCTTGTTAGTCCAAAATAAAGAGATTTATTTCTCCTTTGCCACAGTTTTATCCTGAAGGGTGTTGTTAACCTGTACCGCAGGTAACGCACAGTGGTGGGAGGTGGGAGTCAGGAATCTGGGAATTTGGTGGCAGAAATACCACGGGAAGCTGGATGGCAGAAGGGACAGGAGGGGAAGAAGGGCAGGGACCACTGCCTTCACTGCTGAGCTCTGAAAGCAGTGCTGCACCATCAGCAAGAGGAACTGGTCTGACCCAAAACAAGTTGTACACAGTAAAGGAAACAGGAGACATTGCCTAAACAGACTGGGGATTTTTTTTTTCTGTTTACCTGAGAATCATCTTGGTGCCACTGGGATCTGTGCTGTATGAGTCCTTCTGCAAGGAGATGGAGAGAACCAGGTAATTTCAGACACTGTCCAGAAGGCGCTACTGAGACAACTCTGCTGACAGCCAGGCAAAAATGAAGTGGGGAAATGTCAAATGTTCTTGACCTGAGCTTAAACTTTCATGAATTGAGGGCAGAGGGAGAGAAATGTGTCTGTAAAGAAGAGCTTCTCTCCAGATAAATATGTTTGTATCAAGGCACAGACAGTCTGGAAATCTGTGGAGGGGAAACAGCTGGAGGAAGCAAAGGATTTGGAAGTGATGCTTCAAGGAATTGATGACAAAGAGTTTATTTTTGCTCAGCAGCAGTGCAGCAGTTATTTTGGGCTGGCAGCAGAGATGGTGAGGACCAGCCACATCAACACAGGCCCCTTTAACAGACTTGTTCCCTGGCAAGAAATGCACATCTGAAGCTCACAGCTGAGGATTCACTGTGAGCAGGGCCAGTGAATCTGGAGGGGAGGTTGGCTTCTGTGATCCTACAGCCCAGAGAGAATCTCTTTCCAATCTGGATGTAAGAGGGAATTGTGCCGCAGTTATTTCACTGACATTTAGATTTGGCAGAAGAGTTCCCAAGGATGCTCTGTGCTTCTCAGCACAGGTCAGAGAAGATGTTTAAACTGGCTCATCTGGCTTCTGGAATTGGTAAAGGTCCTGGGCAGGTATCTGGTGCTAGACTGTTGATAGGACAGAATAACAACATATACATTGAATTAAATTATCTAGAAAGAGCCACTGCAAGAAGCTCAGAGGAGTCAGGATGAGCTTTAAGCAGATGATGTGTTACCCTTCACAGAAAAGCCTTAAAATAAATTGCTCTGGCTGAGGTGGTGGAGTAGGTCATCTAATCCTTATCCCTCCTCATCCTTCAAACCAACAGTTCCCCATCTGCACACGACAGAGCTGAAACCCTGGCCAGGGAATCTGAATCCTTGTCCTTGTTTCACACTCAGATCAGTGGGTTCCCTCCATCACTGGGCAGCATGGATTGGGCAGAGATAGGCAACAACCAGGAGTGTGCTCTCAAGGCAGGGCTGGCAGCCTTTGAAGGCTGGCAATTAGGATTCTCCTTCCTTGTCCATATGCAGCCTAAGTGGGTTCTCCCCATGGAGCTGGAGGAAGCTGTGCTGCTGGGCCCCCACCATGGAGGGAAGTGTAGCAACAAGGTGGCTGGAGACACCAGCATGGAGAGAGAAGCCTAGAGACCAGCTTTATACCTCCTAAGCCATCAAAACCAGCATCTGGATTTTTAACACCCTCTGCTTCTTAGCTTTAAAAGCATTGGGCACGCCTTCCATGCTGCCTTCTTGAGCTGAAGAGTTGTTTTCCATGAATTAGAAGTACTGTTTTGAAATATATTTGGCTCATCTAACACGCTGTGAGGAAACGGCCACGGCAGAAGTGAGCCCACCTGGAGTGGGTGTCTGTTTGAAACCAGAGCTGGAAGAGCTTCTGGCCTCTTCAAAATTGGTAATTGCCAGCTGATAGGGAGATTAACTATCCACAATGTTTCTGTGCAGCCTAGTTACAGACTACTCAGTCTTCAGCAATTAGAGCTGTTCCTGTTTCATACTCTTAATAGAGCTCGTTGTCAGGCATGATTCCAATCATCTCAGTGCTCAGCTCCTGTCTCTGATAGCATTTGCCACACGTCACTGACAATTCTGCAGTTATCAGTATCAAGGCATCCAAAGATCATTTACACTGAGACACAAGGAAGACACAACCCCCCCCTGCCTTTTCCAGGGTTATAAATGTGAATTAGCTCTGTTCACTTAACCTCACTCCCGCACACAGACTCGCTAATAAGAGCAGCAGCTTGTACGAGGGTGGTAACAGCCACCCACGGGAGAGGGGAAGCTTTGTTGTATTCTGGCCCATGCAGAACTCTTCTAGATATTGCAGAAACATCCCCTAAATGGGATGCATTTAGGAAAAAAAAAAATGTATTAAGATTTGCCTGAGAAAATCTTTGTTGCAGCTTTGGGCTTCCCCATGTCAAAATTCAGCAAGGGCTGAGCTGAGCCTTGCCCTTTCCTCACACAGCCTCAGGTGCAATCACCTTCATCAAACTCAGCTCTCCAGCTCTTACTTAGGTAATAATTTCCACAGGTCATTTGCTCATCTTCCACTTGAGACCCCATCAGAAAGGTAAGTACACCAGTGATTGCAGCCTCTGCCTTTTGTTCTGTCACATCCTCACTCCTGCAGCCTGTGCTAAGAGCAGCCTGTCCCGCTTAGCCAGCGTTAGGCTAGGGCTTACCTTGAGGGGTCTTACAGCTTCCTACACAAACCAGCTTAGCTGCTCAACAGCTGGCTCAAGGCTGACAGCATTTTCTTGGCTATTTTGAATTAGATTGAGCTTCACTTTGCTGGCAGGACATAATTCAAAAGGCAGAGGTGGGACAGCAGCTGCCTCTTGTCTGCAGCAGTGAATTACTCTTAAGACTGTTCCTGAAGAGATGAAGACATCAAGGCAGAGAAATCATGTGGCACATGGCAGAGGAGAGAGGCAGAGCTAACCCATACACAGGGTGCTGGACCAGTCTGTCCTGCAGCTGCTACAGAGCCCAGGAGTGTCTTCTCTCCATATCCAGGAGGAAAATAGTCCTCTGAGAACTGCTGAAAGTGTGGAATAAGCAGCCTCAGACTGCCCTGATCCTTACCTCCAGCACTTTAGCATCTTGCCATGCCCTGAAAGCCACAAGGCAAAACTGCTTCAGAGATGGGCAACTTCAACAAGCAAGTCTGGAGGGGAAGGAAGTGTTAAACAGCTGTGGTGTGACCTGGCCACCCCAGGGAGAGCTTGGCCCAGGGGTGCTCAGTCTGGGACAACAGGGCTGCAGTTTGTGGGCTCTGAGGTACCAAACACAGTCCTACAGTCAGAGGCACTGAGATCCCTTCCCTATTGCAAAGGATTTTGCCTTTTGATCCCAGAAGTAAGCCCATCTTCCTGATGGTTGATGGGGACCTTGTGTGATTAAACATATTCCTCCACCATGCTGCTAAAAACAGTTTTCCCCCTTGTCAGGCTCTGATTCAGAGTCACAGGACAAGGGGACATGCAACCCTCTAATAAATAATGGAGCACACAAGTGCTCTGACATCCACCTCATCCCAAAAAGCAACACCCCTTTCCCATTTCTGCTTTAAATATAACACACACTACAGGGATTTCAACATGTTTAATGATGGCAGTTTCTACTGAAACAGGTGAAGTCCATTCAAACACAACCAATTTTTCCTTAAAAAAAGCTTTGGTCACGATGACAAATTCTTTTAAAAAAACTTCAAAGCAATTGCACAAAACTGAACACATGGTCCTGATAACTCCTCACACACAAACTGCAGCAACAGAAACTCATCTAACAAGGAAAAATCTTTAACAAAAACCACAGCCCACTACCCTGCAGAGATTATACCCTGTACATGGAATTAGAGGAAACAGTTATAAACAAAGTGTTTTAGTTAATTAGTGTCTATGGTCTAAGCTTCATTAGTGCATGTAGATTCCTACAAGTAAGTTTGGCCTTAAGATAAACACAAGGGGATCACATCGTGTGCTGAACAAGTATTTGCAGTCATCTCTGCAGCTTCCAGGGAATAAAAGGGGGGAAAAATGCAAACACAAAGCCTATCTGTGTACTTAGTTCTGCAGGTAAGCATGGCACACTGATTTCTGGCTTCTCAAGTGTAATCTCTGGTGACAGGGCTGTGGCTGGAGCAAAGCAGCTGCAATTCTGTGCAGGGTTCTTCCTCCACATGCACAAAGGGAAAAGCCTCTGACTCACATACTCTGCCTCAGCCAGGAGTTGGTGGATTCTGTAAGCAGTAAGTGAGCTACAGGCAGACAGCTGTAATAACATTTCTGTTTTCATTTTCTGTAACAAAAAAATATGCCTTTTAAAATGCTCTTCAACAAAGCAAGTTTGACTATGCAACACAAAATAGCAGCAGATACTAAGACACGTTACAGTCACAATCAGATTAAATCTGCAGTGTGAGATACACAGAACATTAAGGTTAAAAACTCATGTAGTGGTTAATGGCTATTTCTTCTCTGATGAACTCCTAGAACTACCTGAACCAAACAGTTCAAATTATTAAAAACTATGTTTTAAACTGATTTCTACAATTAAAAAAATATTCATATATATATACTATTAGATGAGTCACGTCAAGTGCTCTTAAAATCTTAACTAAATATAGCTATAGAATATTTAACCAGACATTTTAAATCACATACAGCAAGTTTTGTAGAGGTAAACACTGCCTCACATTTGCAACAGCAACTGAATATCAGACAGAACATTTGGATTATTTTCATGACCGTGAGCAACTGGTCAGGTTGACCTTTTACTTCCACCAAGCAGCTGCTGCTTCTCTATAAGCACTTTTTAGCTTATGGCACACAGTTTGGGACTTCCCCGAGGAGCCAGGAAATCCCAGCTGCCACTGAGCACCTCCATCTTCAACATCTTAAATAACTGGTCCCTGTCCACCACTGAGATTTGGCCATGTTGTGAAAATAGTGGTTTGGTTTTTATTTTTAAGCTACAAGCAAGAGGAGCAGAGGGCATTTGCCAGCCTAACTCAGCAAATGACCTGAAGCTGCTGGAAAACCTGATTTAGGAACTGACTTGCCCTCAGAAGTGCCCTTCATGCATCATTTCTTCTCATCTTTTTCCTACATAACTTGGTCTTGCCTTTTTTTTGTGTAAAGAGATGGTTTCATTCCCTGTCCCCCACTCTGAGAGTGCCTGATGCTCAGTTTAATGAGCATGGCAGGAGAGTGGGCATGAGCATGTTGCCATGGTGCCTGCACAGACAGGGCAGCCACCTCATCCCGTCCCCTCCTTCCACAAATGCCAACAGAAGCTTTCAACCTCCCTCTCTCCACTCAGCACTGCCACTTCTCTGACTTCAGAAGGGCTTGGTCTGCTCAGGAAGTTCAATTCCCAGCCTTCAAAGTCTTGCAGCCCTGATGAAACTCAGTATTTCCTTCTGGAGCATCCAGCCTAGAGCCTGAAACCTGTTTTACCGAGCTGGGGAAAGAGCTCCAGACCTCACCTCAATCTGCAGCACTGTTCCACTCTCTGCTCTCTGTGGCTCCAACCAGCCAGAACAACCTGCCCAGCACATCTTCACCTCGCAGCTGACATGTCAAATATTGCTTGGTAACAGTGGCACAGAATGACTCAAACTATTCCATGAATGAAAATAACAGAGCATTTTATATTGCCTTGATGACTAATATTAACACAACAGTCTGCTTTGGGATTTTTCCATCCAGGCTGAGTTGGCTGTCTGCAAAGCCTTTGCTGAGTCACGGCTAGGGAAAGCAAGTTGTGGTATGGCAGCTGCTGGGATTGAATGCACAAGGCTGCTGGAAAGGAAACAAAATTCCCCTTCACCTCCTTTTACTGACTGAAGGGCCAAGGGGAACCACACAGAACTGGCACAGGTCATGGCATCACAACAAAGAAGTTTGGTTTCTCAACAAGCCTCAAATCTCAATAGGGCTTTAAAAAAAAAAAAAAATAATCCCAAAAGTGGAAGCCTGTTGCAAAGCTGGTGCTTTGCCAGAAACTGCAGTCTCCTTGAGGGATTGCAACTGCAAGGCTGGGAGAGGGTCAAGCAAACAGTGGGACAATCCTAAAACAATGGGAAAAGATGTGTTCCCCAAGAAAAGCAAGGTTCCAGCCAGCTTAAAAACCCAAAATAGAATGTGTTAAGGAGTGCAGTAAACAGTAAAGTCTGAACTTCATCTGTGGTTACTCTAAAGGAAAACCACAAATAAAGAAACTAACCCAGTTAGGTTTGCCCTTTCTACCGCTGGCCTGGAATGCCTGGATGCCTGTGGTCTCCCACACCCGACCTTTCCAGATGCAGCAATCTAATTCCCACAGTGTCATCCCACAGCTCTGACCTCTGCAGCACAAAGTACAGCAGGGAGCAATGGCTAAAAATGCATCCTTGAGTTAAATGAGCTTTGTCAAGCAGGTAGTAAGGGAAAACTTCCAGTTTGACAGAGAATAACATCACTTACATGAAGCTTCCATGAAAAATAAAACATGTTCTCTCTGCAATCCAATCACTCCACATGAAGACTTACTTTGCTTAGAAAAAGGTAATGAATTGTAGACAAGTTACAGTCAGCACAGGACAGTACAAAACACTGGTTTTACTCCCAGTGGAAGGGCAGAAAATTACAAAAATATATCTTCTTTAATCCAAGATTGTTGTAGTTTAGAGTATGCCTGATTCTTCCTATTTCCCTGTGGTCTCACTTACTGAAGTTGATCTGATCAGAGCTCCTTGGGACAATGAGAGTGTCATCGTGAAAACTTAGTGCAATTCTTGTTTTAAAAAAAAAAATCAGTAGCAAGTCAAGAAAATTTCCTACGTGAGTCAACCTCCCAACCCCTTCCCACCCAAAACCCTACACCAAACATAGCATGGCATTTCAGCATGGCTTACATTTTTACCATCTTTAGTCCTAAGTCACCTCCGTAAGGCCCAAAAATACTTCTTGATTTTTTTTTTTAAACACATGATCCGTTCAACAATGACCGAAGTTTAACAGTGACAGGAGTGTGGAATTAGGATTTTAGAAAATAAGTCCTTGGGCAGCTTAGTTTAATCTTCCTTGTCTTCCTCCTTCTGCAAAACATATGTAGAACAAAAGGAGCTGCACCTTGTCATGCTTTGGTGACACTGCAGCCCTCCTAAAGCGAGAGCAAAGAGGAACTCTGGTCATTCCAACACAGGAGTTGGGACACCAGGGAACCAAATGGTGCTGTTCTAGTCAGAAGACACACAGCCTGCTGTACAAACAGCACCTGGAGGAGGTGAGGCTTGGTTTGGTTGTAATGCTGCAGAGATGAAAGCCTCCCCTTTCACAGTTATGGGTTCAGCAGGTCCCTCGACAGCAGAATGACGTCTTGCAGGGCACCGATGCTCCACGGAGCTGCTTTACCTGGAAAGCAGAAGAATTAGAGCAGCTGGAGATTTGCAATTAAAATTACTCACAGGCAGAGATGAGAACCCACATGCAAAATGGAAAAAACAATCCTAATGGCCACAAAGGAAAAGGCAGCATCATTCACTGGGATTACCAGCAGTCCTCTCCAGCAGTTTGTGTGTCTGGTGACAGTGATGGGATGTTAGTGCCATGCCAGGAGGAGAGATACCAAGGGAAGACAAAAGCAGAGTTAGATGAGAGAAAGGCCAGATGCTGGAAGATCCTGTCACTGTGCAGAGCAAAGAAGTGAATGTGCACAGGGAGACACATGAAAGCACATCCTGCACCTCACAGCTTTTACACACCAGTGCACCCCTTACCCACCAACACACATGGAGCATTCTCCTTGCCATGGACACTCCTTCTGATGCCCTACTGCCTTAAATGCTTCAGGGTTCAAAAAAAATCTTAACAGGAACTTGTTACACTCCAGGAAGGTAAGAGCCTTCCCATAGGACTGCAAGAGCAGCAGAACATGGTGTGCTCTGCAACAACTGTCACAGCAGCATCAGGAAAGAACTGGCCTTCAAAACCCAGTAAAAATTGCTTTTTGACTATCTCTTTTTCTCCCCTGCTGTGGGCCTATGGGAAATCCTTAACAGCAGCACCAAAGCTTCAGCAATTTGTTGTATTTATAGTGAGCTGCTGCCTATGTTGGTGATTTGCACCCCCTTCAGATGAGGATAAATGATACCCCTCCATTTACACACAACTTGTCACTGCTGCCTGCTGGGGAAAAAAAATAAGTTGCTATAAACCCTAGTACAATTCACCTGGCATCATCCAGAATTGCCTGCAGCTTTCACTACAAAAAAAAAATCCATTAGAGCTGGTCCCTTGAGAGTGAACACCTCGCAGTAACGAACAGAACAATTCCATGCTCCATTCAGAGCTGCATGCAGTCAGGATCTGGAAAGGATGTAGTCCTAGAGAAGGCACCAATAGCGTAACCCTTATTTTACAGAGACTCCCAAGACTTGAGTACATCAAAGGCTGAGCCCTGCAACTGTGCTGAAGATGTTTCTCTACAGTTCCATGCTATCAGTGCCTGAAAAGAGGATGAATCCAGAATCCAGCCCTTACATGTACTGCATCTTTCCTTTAAAATATCCTGCAAGCTCTCAAAAGCCCTTTAGACCCACAATGGTTGAATAAATATTCCTGTCCTGTTCCCTTAGCCTACCACTGCTCCTTAGACATAAATCTTTCTCCTTTCAAGAGCACTTTGGAAGATGCATTCCTAAACCACTTCTGCTGGTGCTGCTGCTGTTAGAGGATAAATGACAATCCATAGGGAAAACAAACTGAGGAATTTTACTCAGCCAACAGGAAGGACAGAGGCTTCAATCTGCCCCAAGAAAAACTTTTTATCAGTATTTATTTAGGAGCCTGACATCAGGACTAGCATTTAAATTCCAAGTTCTTTCCCCACTCTGGGTTGGCACATGGCACATATCGCCCTGGACAGTTGTGAAATTCCCCCAGCTGGGCTCAGCAAGCGAAGCAAGAGCAGAACTTGCTGCCTCCAACAGCTGCAAGTCAGCAGGGAGAGGAGTCACTGCTGATATCCCAGATTACTGAAGTGCTTTCAAAGCCTTTCATGTGCAAGGCGCCACGGAATTTATTCAGAACTTGTTTTCAGTTTCCTATTGAAGCTGACAAGAAATCCCCCAATGAGCTTCGCTAGAGTTAATAAGCTTAACAAGCTAACAATTTTATTTACCTTTTCAGAAACTGGTACTTTTTGCAGCTGTTTTAATCTCTTTTCTCTTATTACACACAAAAAAGCAGAGTGCTCTGTGGTGAGGGATGGACACCAGTTTGCTGGGGATGTTTGCCTGTAACCTACTTTACTCCACTGCTCTCAAATATCCCTGAGTGCCAAAAGCCTGATGAATCAATGGCTTAGCTCCATCAAGAGATCACAGAACCCATGCAAATTCCCCTTGCCTTCCTGAAAGAAAGTGCTAAAGGAGCAAAGAGGAGAGGGAAATCTTCAAATCAAAATCTATTTGTGAGATGAGAAAAAGCACATAGGGAGGATGGGATTTAGCTTCCCACTAACTCATTTTTGAAGATGTGCAGCAAATCCCATCATAAAACTTGGAAAAACATCTGACATCTGGGAAATGGTGACCAATATAGTTCGTAAGATCCAGGAATCAACTGGACAAGAATGCTCTTTGGCCTTCAGCACAGATTTGGTGATCAAGAAACAACACTCTTTCCATTGCTCCATTTGCTTTCTTTGTGTAGCTCTATAATAATTTCAGAACAATTCCTGAACTTTTTATCCAAATGCCTCTCTCAATACCAAAGCAAATACACAAAAAAACCACACATATTAAAACAGTGGTTTCCATGAAGCTTTTTAAGGAGGTGTCAATGTCCAAGTGATGTGGCACTTTTACTCTGTGACAATCTTTGTTTTCTACTTTCCGCCTCTTTTCACACAGAAATTGTGCCTGCAGGATTAGAGGCCACTGACAGAGCTGCTTCCCTGCTACTGGAATGAGGTTGCAAGAAGGAGATCTGATCCAGCACACATTCAACAGAGGCAGCAGTGGATGGCTTTTGCATCCACAGAAAGGACTGTGTTTGGGTAAGATTTTGAAGTGGTCTCATTAGTCTGCCTTACTGGAGGAAGGTGGTTATTTCTTGTTGCTCCACTGCCCAAGGGAAGCCAGGGAGTGACCTACTGGGAGCCTAAAACCTTAAAGCCTCATGAAAAAAAATGGTAGAAAATAGCAACGACCTTCATCCAACAGCCCAATTTACACTGTCTGCTGTTCTTTGATGCCTCATGTAAGACTGGAAACAAATCCGCACAAGGACAAAGCATTAAAGGAAAGAAAATTAACTGCACGAGAACCAATTGGAGAGGTAAATGTCGCTTCTCCCCTGTTGCTGCTCCACACCAACTGCCTTTTAATTAGAGAGCTGTTTGCATTACATGGGGAGAGAGCACAGAATCTCAATTACTCCCCCAAATACAGATGCAAGCCAGCATGGATCTTTCAGCAATAGGAGGGCGTCTCATATAAACCAGCTCAGAGCCTTCCACACCATGAATATCAGCTAGGGGGGTAAGGGAGGACTGGGGCAGATACCCCAAGAGAAGACCTGTTAGAAGTCTGTTCCCTAACTCCCTGTGGGCAAGCCTGAGCTGCCCTTTCTGCAACTCTGTCCCTCTCTTCCCATTTGAACATAAGCACCCAAAAAAAATGTCCTGACATTTTTTTATTTTAATGGGGTTGTCTGTGGTCAAACTCAGCAACTCCAATTTGAAAAGGAGTCTCTTTACTGGAGACAGGATTTGTGAACAGTTTGAGATATACTCTCTCTCCAAGCTGCACAAAGGAACCAAAGAGCCTGACACCTTTTACAGCAAATGTATCCTCAAAGAAGCTTTCCCAAAATCACCACTGCTAAGGGGCTGTCTGTAAGATGATCTTCCCCTCCAAAGTGAGTAACTCTGTTTGAGCTAAACAGAAGTATGCCTGAAAAAGCAAGGACTGCAGAAAATGCAATTTAATAGCTGTTGCACTGTGGCAGAAAGGAGGAATTCCCACAGCTGAAAAGAGGACTGGTTGGCCAAGAACAGCAACCCAGGATGAGCCAGTACCTTCAGTGATAGCAGCAGAGTTCCTGCTCCAGGGAAGCAACTCAGATAACATGAACACAGCTCTCAAGAGACAAATGCTCTCCAGCAAGCTCTCTTTGTTCATCCACTATTAGACATCTTGTCCTGAAGCACTGCCATGATTGAGATTCTTCTGTTCTCACTCTTTGGGGAAAAAACCCCTCAGATCCCATTTCCAAAAGTTCACAGAGAAAGTATGGAGTTAAAAGGAAAAGGGTGGGACATGGTGGCTGTTTAAACAGCCATGGCGACTCAGATCTCTGCACTCTGGGTTTAACAAAGCTCAATCACAACCTGCACAAACTGAAATTATTAGAGCAAACACAGGGCAGCTACAGGGAACAGCAAAAGTCAAGGTAAGGACTGATAGGAATCTTCTAAAACAAGAATTAATTGTCTACACATAAAGGCTTGACTCACACCCTTCATTGTTTCATGGTTCCCAACTATTTCCTGATTTTAACAGAGAACCAATGCAATGATTTGGGAAACAACCAGTGGAGCATATGGGTGTGTGTGGTTCAGATGCTGGCACACATGTGTGTGTGATGTGGTGTTCCCCCTTTTGTGTGCAGATGTGGTGTTCCCCCTTTTCCAAAGTTAGGAGATGGGCAATGTCAGTAAAGTCTGTAAAATCTCCAGTTAGAAGATGTCAAGATCTGCATTTTTATAATTAGGAGAGTTTATTTCAACTAAAGTAGGACAGATTTTAGAGTAGGCCTTATTTGGATTAGAACACAACTTGAATAGTGTACATGGCTTGATGCAAATAAAAATAAGAGATTGCAGATACTCTGATGCCATAAATCAACAAGCAGCATCTTTATGCGCTGAGTTGTTGCCATAAATCTTCAGGCCCAGAATAGGCAGCAGAAGTTTTGGGTTGTCACACCACTTCCATCTCAAAAAGACAAACATATTTAAGGAAAGTTTGTTGCTAAGGGGATAACTGCTAACAGCATCAGTGAGGGCCCACAGTCCTCTCTGTGTCACAGACCAACACAGGAGAACTCCAGTACAAATCTTGTGGAGATTCATTCTGATTTCCCTCCCAGGCTCACAGCAACAGCAGTGCCTGGGAAAGCAGCCCTGGATCCACGACCCTTGATCCACAGCCCTCCATGCAGTGTGAGCACACAGGAACGACTGCCAGCAGCTGCCCGAGAGGGGAAGTTCAGTCTGTCAAACCCTGTCAGCTATCTGGGACACGTGTATCCCACTGTGCTGCTCTGCAGGGGAAAGAGGAGTGCAGACAGCCCGGGGTAGTGCCAGGGTTATTGCAGGAGCAGGGAAGGGCAGAGCCGTGTGTGCTGGGAACAGGCGAGGAGCGTAAAGGAAAGGGATAATGCTTGGGCAAAGAGAAACTGAGACTGCCTCATCCCTGCCAAGTTACCCCAGCAGAGAAATAAAAGAGCTGTCTTCACTAGCAAGAGCTCAGTGAGCAAGTCTAACTGGATGGGTGGCAGCAGTACCTGTATTTCACATCAAACACTGTTGAGTCTTCGTCCTCGTCGTCTTCTTCGTTCAGAGGAGCCATTTCTACCCGCTCGGCCGGGGTGGTGATTATGTCGTACTTCCTGGTCTTCTTAATCCTCTTGCCAGACCTGAAATACAGAGGTGGGAAATACTGCCTTTATGGACTATTCCTTGGAGAGGCTGAAGCTGCTCGCACCAGCTCTGACTCTGTTGGATTCTGACCCCCCTAAGAGGAACCCTGCAGAACCAGCCTCTGTCCCCTCCTGCTGCCTTTCCAAGGCCACTGTTTGTGCCTGTGTGTGGAGCAGTTTCTCATCAGCTGCAATCCAGAACAACGTCAGTCTTTCCACTGCTGACAAACCAGAGATGCTCTGGCACCCAGGGCAGGCACACGAACGCCGCGGCCACCACGTGCTCCTGCTGCCACACTCAATAAGTGAGACATGGGCTTAATCAGCTGAAGCAGCCAGTGGCTTAGTGAACATGTTCAGATGAGAAAGCACAGGTTAAGCCCTGCTGAGCCATGGGAATGTTCTAGGCAGGATTAGGAGCAAGGAGGTGATGCTGTCTGGGTACAAACAGCCTGTTTGCTTTCCTTGCAGTCAGGCCAAGCTCAGGACTCCCACAGCAACAACCTTGAGTCTCATCTGAAGCAGTTTTAGGCTCCATCTGTGCAAGTGCTATGAAAAATAATCAACCATCGTTCAAAGCTAACTGTACCTACCACCTCTCCTCCCACAGATGCCAGCCTTACTTTCCTTTGGAAATGGAGATGCTCACACACCTGCACATCCCATGGTTTTGAGAGATCTATTTTCTAACACTTTCAATTAAATTAATAAACACTTGGTGTGTGGCCTTTCAACTTATTCTCTGCCTCTATCTTGAATTCCATTGCTTTTTTTTATTTCACCTATTGTTTTCATGCATACTAGGAAGGTCAAACTGCTCATGCATGAATGCATTTTTGTGATTATACATTCAAGAACATGTTGATGTGTACTCGGCCAGCCTTCGGGGAGAAAAGTGGATTGTTTTGATTAACAAAATACAGAACTTTCCCCTACACCTTTTAGCAAACAAAACTGCTACCTGCCAAGCATGACAAGGGAGTTGGTGCAGGCAGCACCAAGCAGCCCAGCAGATTTTTGGTAATCACAGCTAATGTTTTGAGCAGTCAGCATGCCCCAAGCGCTCTTTCACTCTCAAGAAGCCTTCCCCTGGCATGTCATGCGAGGTATGCCAGATTCAGAAGCACAGCTTTTGCCTCAAGGAGTCTTTAAACAGCAACAGGAACTGGGGTGTGAGCACTGCAGAGACACTGGGACTCCAGCCCTGAGTGTGCATCTCCAGCACAGTGGTACCTTCCAAGCTTAAAGAAATTTAAATCAGTGACCAGTTCTGACATGGAAACCTCAGCACCTCTGCCAAGCACTGCTTTTGGGCAGTAGTCCAAGGCTGAACAAACAGGTCCCAGCCCTTGGGATGAAGCAGTTTGCATTTCCTCCCTGTTCTGAAGGCTGAGGTTGCTTCAGGAGTGAGGAAGAAGTCACCTCCTGGTCTAATCTTTAGAGCTATCTGTGCTGCTGTGTCACGCAGAGCACAGGGTGTTCTTTTACTGCTGTTGTTGAAGCAAGCAATTTTATATCCAGTACAGTAGGACTCTTAACCCAAACACTTGAAAATCATTTTGAAACCACTTCTTTGTTACTCTGCTTCCCTGCTCAAAACTGGCAGCAAAGTGATGAAGGGAGGTCTCCTCTTGCAACTAAAGCATTGTTTTTACAAGAAATATTTACTCATCCAGGGAAGCCTAAACACAAACCAAGACTAACCTGTCAGAACTAAGCAAGTCCAGCCTTACCACTCTGCACTCACATCCAGGCTACAGAGGATTTCATGGGTTCTATTTAAGATCCTACCCAAGTATCAGGCCCACTTTACTAAGACCCCCTCCTCCTTCATTCCCTCCATTAGAAAATGTAACTTATTCCAGAGAGTTCATCTTAAAACTGTTAATGGAGTGGTTGAAGAAATTACTGCAGAACAGGTATTTTTAGAAATGAGAAACTAGAATCCTTTTGCCTCCAGCCATTAATTAGTCTATTTGGGCTACACTTTCAAGAGAACCTGCAGCAGAACTCACTGTACAGTGACCTATTAATCCCCACAACCTCACTTAATGATGGTGCTCATCTAAGATAGGGAAGAAGCTCATTTTGCTGCTGGTTTTTGGCTAAGCTGCTACAACCAGTTGTTCGCCATTGATAAGGCAAAAAGGTCCTTTCCTGCCACCCCTTTCTCAATCCATTCCACCCCAGATTATCTAGCTAATTTGTCATTAATCTGCTTTCCAGCAGTCCGTTTTCTCATTTGCTCATTTGCACAACTTCCCCAGGCTTCATAAATACCAGAAGAATTACTAAAGCTAACTTTGCAGGAAAGCCTTGGAAGTCTCCCTACATACACACTGAATAAAGCTGCCTGTCAGGAAATTGTTTCACGTTAAAACTCCTGAACCTCAGTGGGATCCCTGTAACCATCAGCAATGACAGCACAAAAAGGAAAAGCACTTTATTCAGCAGGTGAGACCAGGCAGCAGAATCAGCGGAGCAGCACGGGACAGGAACTACAGAATACAAATGTTCCATGAACTTTGGAGACCTCCTGGACAGGATCAGGACACATTAGACCTCATGGGCAAACAGAATCTTTCCTTTCCAGCCACATTCATTTTGTGGCAAACAAGAAGCATGCTGGAAGCTGTGGTCATTTTGGCCCTTGCACAATGACAATGCACCCCCCAAGTGATTTAGCCAGGGTAGAAGTGGTTCTGGGTAGTTTAGCATAGAAAACCATCGTCCACTTTAAAAAATCCTGTTGCTTCTGCTGAATCAGCCAGCCCCTGTAATTAGGAAGGAATGCTACAGGTCTTGCCCAGAATTATGAGGAAAGAAAACCCAGGTTAAATGGGGGCAGGGACATTAACCTTGTCCTACAGACCCAATGCTGAGGCACCACACACCACACCAGGATCTGCTTGGTCCACCCGAAATCAGATGCACATCCCTCTCCAGACCACAGGGAAGGACAATACACAGAGAGCAGAACGCTGACTTTGTGTCTGTACTTTGACCCGGGGCTATTTTGATCAAGCACCAGTCATATGCAGCACTTCATCCTCCTTTCTGAGGCATCATGTGGTGGGGTAAGTGCTCAAATCAACTCACTGGTTCATTGTATTATTTACGCCTCTAATCTATTTTAGTCCACAACCCTGACATTCACAGATTATTTTTTTCCTGACCCAGAGAGAGAGGTCTCCGCATTTCTTACCTCCTGCTAAGAGATGAAGAGCGAGGGGACCATCCCCTGGAAAGAAAAAAAAACCAACAAACCCTCACTCAAAAAAACCCTTATCCCTTCTAAGTAGAGTGCTTACTGGAAATGTGATTAAGCCAGTCCCTCCTAGAACTGCAGCGATGTTATATCCGGAATGGAATTAGGACCGGTTTATTTCCTGTTAATGGACTCCCTAGCAGTTAAAAATTTAAAAAAAAATTATGGAACTATAAACCTCAGGAAACTCCAGGCTTCCCACCAGCTGATGAATTAGATCAGCAACATTTATGTTGATCTCTCTGGGTATCTCTGCTCTCTGGATGGTGCTGTACACAACAAAGTTGAAGCACTAAGCCAAACCCTTGTTTTCTGGAGATGGGGATGTAGTGACAGGACAAGGAGGAGTGGTTTCCAACTAAAAGACAGCAGGTTTAAATTAGATATTAGGACAAAATTTTTTACTGTGAGGGTGGTGGTGAGGCCCTGGCACAGGCTGCCAAGAAAATCTGTGGCTGCCCCATTTCTGGAAGTGTTCAAGTCCAGGCTGGGTGGAGCTTGGAGCAACCTGGTCTAGTGGAAAGTGTCCCTGCCCACACAGAGGGGCTGAAATGATCTTTGGGGTCCCTTCCAGCCCTAACTGTGATTCTATGATTCCATGATCAATGCTGCTGTCTGCCCATGGCTTTCAATATAGGTCACAGATATACGTTTTGGGGTTGGATGTTTGGTTGATTTTTTTTTTTTAATTCTCCATTTAACATAATTTAATCTAAGTTTTTCTTTCCTGTTGCTGGCAGAAGCCTTGTCTTTGCTGGAGTACTGTAACTGGTTATAATACAATTAATTTTAAATCAGTAAAACTCTCTGGGGTTAAGCCTTGGATGGCCTGGAGCAACTGTCCAGCTCATAGAACAAAGGGTCTTGTCTCTTATGATCATATGCTTGAAACTCTCTCCTCAATCTCATTTATACCACTTTTGCTATTACTGGAAAACTAAGCTTAAAGTGGTACTTGAGGAAGAAATCAAAAGTGAACAAGGAGGAAAATAACAAAGCAATGAGATGCAAAATGCAAAATAAAAATCTGGATATACAACAGCTTTTCCATCCTGCATTCTGTTTGTTCCAGGGCAGGTCAAGAAATGATGCAAACACTTGCAGAGCAGAGTTTACTGCAAGTAAAGCTTTGGGTTGCTCTTGGCTGGCCCACTGGAGCAAAAGTAACTGATCAGGTTTCCCTAGAATGCACACGGTCTACCAGCACAATTGGCCACATCTGAAAAATTGTGTTTCCTGTGAGCTGATCCCAAGAATTGCATTGCAGTGGAATGAACCGAGCTGCACCAGGGGAGAGAAATGGGGCAGAACACAGAGGTAAAAAGGCAAAATCCAAAATACAGATCAAAGAGTGAGTTTAGCCACACACAATCTGTTGCAAGACACTGTGTTTCTTGGTAATGCAAACTACCCAGCTATTTTAGAATAACACGGAATTTGGTTTGCTGTGGAAATGGTTTTGGGTTGGGAGTACGCAGAGCCCACTGGTGTAGGAAAGAAAGCAAACCCAGGACTGAGCTTGCAAAAAAGAATAAATAAATAAATACTACAACAAAATAGACCTTGCCACATGCAGACAAACAGCCAAGTCTTGGCTGACCTTCATAAACCCCAGCAGCCATAGAGGGAAAGGGAATTCAGACCACTTTGGGTGACACCACATTCTGAACCACACGACCATCAGTTGAATTCAGAGCATAACATTTCCAAAAAGGAATTAAGAGGAATCTCTGAGTGTTGCCTTAAGAACTGAGCTGAAAGCTAGAGAAATATTCTATTCCTACTCAAACAAAAAAGGAAAATAATATCAACAGAAAAACATGTAAAAATGAGATGAATATAAAAGTAAAATGTATAAAATATTAATCTGACACCTGTGACGAGTATCTGGCCAATCACTGGTTTATTTCATCTCTACAACCCATATAAAAGCATAATTTACTTCCAGCAACACAGAACAATTTCACAGTGAAAGTTTAATCAAGGATTGGATTTCAGCAAAATCTCTTTAATAGGAATCCATGACTCTTCAGAAAAATAATCACAATGTTTTTGACTAAGTGTGAACAAAGCTTGTATTCTGATGGAGAAAAGCTTTACATTTATTGAGGGTAAATCCCTTATCTCTTCTGCAACAGAATCTCCACTGATCTGTGTTGTCAGCTACAAGTGTGACGCTGTACAAACATACCTGTTGGTATTCTTGTCTCGTTTGCAGCTGGGATAACTGTTTACAAATAAGTGCTCTGTCAGATAAAGAAACATACTCAGAAGCCAACAGCTTAATTTTCCCATTCTCCAGCAGGTTCTACCAAAGATATACAAGGCATCTCAGAGGGTGTTTATTTTAACGCATCCTTAATGCTGCATTAACTCTGATCAGCTGTATAATGACGACTTTGACATGGAAGAATAAATCCATCTTTCCCAAGGTGACTTTAACTTGGACCTGTTTTTGCTGATAATGGTATAGGGAAGGCCTTTAAAGGTTATCAGTCTGACTTCTTTGGCTACCAATATTCAGCCAGGTCTCCTTGACACAAGATGTTATACTTTAATGCTCTTCTATGCTTTACGCTCAGAATAAACTGTGGCAAAGAAAATAAACTCTCCAAGATCACACAGAGCTAGGAGTAGAAACTTAGTGCAGAATGAAAAGCCTTAGTTATAAACGTCCTAATTCTAGCTCATATAACCTCTACCAATTCTTCTGTTTGTCCGTGACAACTCTGTACAGCTGCAAAGCAGACATATCGATTAAAAAAAAAACCCCAGAACTCTTCAACACTTTATTGGGCTCTCCCAAACCGTATCACTTTATGAGCACATTTATTTGCATTGCCTTTGCCAGCTGCTGCACACACTTAAGTAGAATACAGTTAAATGTCAATTTCTCCAGAAAGCATCAGGCCTGATCATTTCGGTTTATAGACCACACTTTGGAATACTACCATCGTGAACGCTGCCCTTCCCACATGGAATTAAAGTAGGAGACGCAGAGCATTCAGCCATGCACAAAGGAGCTGCCTGAAGACAGAGCAAGGAAGAATTTGCCAGCTCCACTTGTTTAGCCGCTTCTGTCACCTGAGCCTCGGCTTCGCCTCCTCCCGCCGCCGAGCGCCAGCTGTTCCCGTCTCTTTCCGGCTGTCCCTGCCCAGCGGTCGGACACCGAGCTGTGACACTTCGCCATCTGGGCCCGGATCTCCGGCTGGCCTTGGAGCATCGCCATGTCCAGGCAGCCCACGGCTCCTTGGGCACCCATCCCAGCGCCCCCCGCCGCCACCAACCCCACCTATTCCAGGTGTTCACGCGTTCCACACTCCAGCCCCCAGCGTGGCCCCACGCAGCGAGTGTACCCAGGCTGGAAAATCCCACTTGGAGCCCAGCTGCTGCCCCGAGCTCCTGCGAGAAAGGAGGAAGGCGCGGGCTCGCCAGGCCGGCAGCCCCACACGGCTCCCAGGGGCCGCTGGGCCAGCCACACACGCCGCGCTTGAGGCCGGGCTTCCAGCACATCCTTAGCAGGTTATATAATACATCATTATATGAAAGATACGGCTTATATATAAAAATAATAAAACAGGAGAGGCTTCCTCCCTTCCGGCCCTTCGGCCGGAGCCCCCGATGGCGGGT